ACAGATAATAGTGTGATGAAGGCCTGGGGTGGGGCAGGGTTTCAGTGCAGAGGGCAAAGGTGGTGGTACGGGGTAAATGGGGGATATCTGTAATACTGTCAACAATAAAAAATAGTAATAAAATAGTTATAATTGTAGACATAGAATTGTATGCCAAGCTGAGGTATCATTTAGTTTCCTTTATTTATTTATTTATTTATTTATTTACTTATTTATTTATTTATTTATTTATTTATTTATTTTAGAGAGGGAGAGGGAGATAAGAGACATTATTTTGTTGTTCCACTTATTTAAAGCTAAGCTATCATTTAAAAATGCGGGCAAAATAAAGACATTTTGAGAAAATAAAACCAGTATTTACTCTGAAGAGAATTTTATTAAAATAACTTCTAAAGAATGTCTTTTAAAAGTTGAAAATTGAACCCTGAAAGAAGAAGTAAGTTCCAAAAAAGCATGGAGAGTGAAGAAACTGAGTATAACTTTCAAACCAGTAGATTTTATTTTTATTATTATTATTTTTTTAATCCTCACCCGAGAACATGTTCATTGATTTTTAGAGTGAGGGGAAAGGAGAGAGAGACAGAGAGAGAAACATGGATGTGAGAGAGGAACATCTATCAGTTGCCTCCCACACATGCCCAGACTAGTGCCTGGGATTGAACTTGCAACCTAGGTATGTGCTCTGACTGGGAATCGAACCCACGACTTTTTGGTGTATGGGGCAGCGCTCCAACCAACTGTGCCACACGGGCTGGGACTTTATTTTAATTATCTTTTTTAAAAATTGTATTGATTTTTAGAGAGAGGGGAGGGACAGAGAGAGAGACATGGGTTTGTGGTTCCAATTATTTACGCATTCTTTGGCTGACTCTTATATGTACCCTGAGCAGGGATGGAACCCAAAACCTTGGCCTATCCAGGGCAAACCAGGAAACTTTAAAAAGGGCATAAATAAAACATAATTACTCAATAGAAAGCAGGTAAGTAGGGGTGAGAAAGGAGCAAATAAAAGGTATTGAAGCCCCAGCCGGCTTGCTCGGGGGTTAGAGCGTTGGCCCTCAGACTGAAGGGTGTGATTCTGGCAAAGGGCGCGGACCTCGGTGGCAGGCTGGATCCACGGCCCCAGCTGGGGCGCGTGTGGGAGGCAACCAATCGATGTATCTGGTATCGATATGTCTCTCTCTCTCTCCTTTCCATTCTCTTTGAAAAGCAATGGAAAAAGTATCCTCGGGTAAGGATTAAAAAACAGGAAACAGAAACAGAAACAAGCGGTATTGCAGATGGCAAATACAAAATGAGAGAGAAAAAGTATATCAATAATCTTTAAAAGAGATAAACGGGGTACACTTGTCAGTTAAAAGATAGATTTTCAGCTACATATTTTTTAACAAGACATCATTCTAAAATTTAAAGGACAGCAAAAGGTTGACAGCAAAAGGAAGACGCAAGCTTTGCAAAGCAAGTAACAACCAAAACAAAGATGGTATAACTGTATTACTATGAAGGCGGGATAAACTGACCTGAAAGGTTACGGTCGGTGGTGCACGGGAGGTTAAACAGCCATCTCAGACGGGCAAATAAATAAAAATTAAATTTATTTAATTAAAAGGGGATGGGAATATCCAAAGGGAAGGGCTACACAGCACTGAGTCAATGGGTATTGGGTCCATGATGGCAGCAAAAATATACTTAGGGCAGTGAAACAAGGAAAGTGTATGGAAGAGGTAACAGGAGAGCCCAGGCTGGACTGTTTTGGGGAACTTGGAGACAGGTTCAGGGGGTGAGCGTGCTCCCCTGATGGGGAGCACACCCTGGGTCCTTTGTCCTGAGCATATTTATCTCTTTCTTGCAGGTAGGAACCTTAAGGGAGATTTCTTAAGGGAGAATCTTGGGGGTGGGGGGCCTTAATAGAATATTCATCAGCTTTCCAGGTGTGCTCTTTCAGGGTTGTGGTCTCCACTGATTAGTCGTGCCAGGGCAGGGGGTCAATGTATCTAGTCCTGAGGCAGCCAAGGTGCCACTTATCTGGTTTTGCTGCTTTTCTGGGCTTGGAGCTGAAATATAATTGAAGCCTAGATGTTATCTTTAGGGAGGAAACACTCAGGAGGTCTAAGCCACATGACCAGCGATTTGCTAGGAGGAAACTCCATACTGTTTTTCAAAGTGGTTGCACCAGTCTGCATTCCCACCAGCAATCTTCTAGGGTTCCCCTTTCTCCACACCCTCGCCAGCACTTGTTTGTTGATTTATTGATGGTAGCCATTCTGGCAGGTGTGAGAGGATACCTCATTGCAGTTTTTGTGTTTTTTAAATATATTTTTGTTGACTTCAGAGAGACGAAGGGAGAGGGAGAGAGATAAAAACATCAATGATGAGAGAGTCAACGATCGGCTGCCTCGTGCACGCCCCCTGCTGAGGATCAGCCGCAACCTGGGCATGTGCCCTGACCGGGAATCGAACCTCGATCTCCTGGATCACAGGTCCATGCTCAACCACTGAACCACGCCAGACGGGCATTGTAGTTTTAATTTGCATCTTTTTGATGATTAGTTGAGTTAGAACTCTTTTGATTGTAAGTAACAGACACCAACGAGAGCATGCTTAATATTACGTAAAATGAAGAGAATTTATTTTATATAGACAAGGTATCACAAAATTCAAGGGCAACTGGAACCATGGGAGCCTCTGTTCCTCTTTATACGACTGATTCCTTCTTTCCTCTGGGTCAGCCTTCTCGGCTGACTCAGTCAATTGCAGGAAGAATATGGTTCTTCCCCCACAGTTACTAAGTTACCTGCTACACATCCGACCACAAAGTCCTACTTCCCTTCAGTCCAAAGAGAAAGGATTCTGTCAGTTCCATTCTGGTTCATCCAACTGTAATGATGAGAGTAAGGTCGAGTTACAAACGTGGCTGGGGGGGGGGG